ATCCTGCCCTCTCTTGGGAAAAGTAACATCAGGGTAACTTCCCCAGGACACAGACAACCTGGCTGCCTCCCTGTCCACAGTACAAAATAAAGCGCCTTCACATCAGTTGTCTCTGGATAGGCAGCAACTCTCTCTCCCTCTTTATACATTAAGTGGACAGTTTTGTTCTTATTTCCATTTCTCAAGTTGGGAAAGGGTGCAGAGAAGGCAGCACCTTCCACGCAGCTGGAAGAAGCCAGAGCCAGGATTTGAATCCAGTCCCCCAGCTCTGTTCTTTCCCCGTGTGGCTGCCTTGGCGTCTCTGAATCCCTATGCCCAACTCCTCAGGGCTCCCATCCCAGGCTGATCCACTGCTGTCTCCCTTGGCATGAAGGAGGCCTTGGGAAGGGCTCCAGTGGTCACATGAGACCTGGAGAGGGTGGCTGGGACTGCATCCAATCCCTCCTCTGGAGTTTAGGAAGCTGAGATGGCCAGAGAGCCGGATGCCATGCCTGAGCAAGATGACAGCCAGCACCTGCCCTTGGTGCATCAGCTGGCACGGGCAGACTGTGTCCTTAGCCTGACCCTGTGCTGAGTACACTTAAAATACAAAGACAGACAGGGTGCGGAGGAGACAGCTACCCAGCCCTCAGAGGCAGCTCCAAGGCCATGTGTGGCCAGTTAGCTAAGCTTCAAATCCTGTCCCTGCCATTTACCAGCTGGGTGACCAAACAAGTCACTGAATTCCTCTGAGCCTCTGTTTTCTTATCTGTAAAAAGAATAAATTACAGTACCCACTCGACAGGGTGTTATGAAGATTAAATGAGGCAATACCAGAAAAGCACTTAGTATAGTCCCAGGCAGTGGGCTAGGGCTCAGTAAGTATTGGCCGAGAAGCCCCCAAACCCTTCTGAGATGGGGCTCCTTCCATCCTCTTTGCTCTATGGTCCAGTACTCAGCAGTGAAAAAAAAGAGAAGGTACATTCACACACACACACACACACACACACACACACACACACACACACAAAACATGCTCACATGCCGTTTACACAACAAAAATTCTGTAGAACTATAAAGCAAATCTTTAAGAAAAAGACCATGTTTTTCCAAGGGGTAGAATTATGGGGGATTTTAACTTTTACATTATATAGCTCTGTTTATTATGTTAATTTTATAATCAGAAAAAATAAAGATATTTAAAAATTGTCGTGTGCTACTGTGTGCCAGGCACAGCATCAGGCACTTTTGATACAGCCTCCCTAACCCCTACAACATCCTTCCCAGGAAGGTCATGTTATCCCCATGTTCTAGATGAGCGGGTGGAGGCTTAGAGAAGTGAAGTGATCTGACCAAGGACACACAGATTACCAGTGACGATGCCAGGATCTGACCCCAGTATTGGAATCTGGGGTACAAAGCGATTCTGCCTGGCAGGTCAGGGAAAGCTTCATGAAGGAGGTGATATCTGTGCTGAGCCTAGAAAGCTGAGTAGGACTTCTGTAGGCCTGGGTTCTCAGCCAGGGGTGATTTTGACCCTGGAGGACATTTGATGAAGCCTGGAGACATTCTTGGTTGTCAGAGCTTGGGGTGGGTGGTGCTACTGGCATCCAGTGGGTGGAGGCCAGGGATGCTGCTAAACATCCTATGGTGCAAAGGATTGTCTTGCATAACAAAGACTTATCTGGCCCCAAATGTCAATAGTGCCAAATATGATGTAACATACTAGAGCTGTCATTTATGGAGTGCTTACTATGTGTCAAGTTCTATACCAAGTTCTTGCAAATGTCATCTTACTTAATTCAACCCCATTATTCCCATGCTGTGAATGAGGGACCTGAGGCTCAGAGATGATAAGGAACTTCCCAAAGGTCACACAGCAAGAAAATAGGAGTGCAAGTTTCGAGCTGCCTGAATACAAAGCCAGAGCCTTTAACCTTTCCGCTCTGCTGCCTCCAGGATTTATAATAAATGAAAAAAGCTCCAGGCCACTGCTAAGCAGCCGGGTGTGAGGAGGAGTAGCCTCCTCTGGCCTCAAGGCCTTGGGAAAGGTCCCCCCTGCCCTGGGGCATTTCCCCATCTGTCAAATGAAGTTTGCATCAGGAAATCTCCAAGGCCCTGCGGGCTCTGAGTCTGTTATTCTCCAGGAGAGGGGTCCAAGGCTCCAGGAGCCCTGGGGACAAACCACCAGCTGCTGGGAGAGGAAGGGGTGTGATGGGCAGGCTCAGCCTCATTTCCAGTGCATAACTAGCTAATGAGCCCCACTTCCCCACGAAGAGAGGGGGTGGGGTGGGGAGGGTGGGGAGTGGCTTGAACCTCACCCAGGAGCTTACTTCTCCAGCGGGAGGCATGTTTCTCTGCTACTTTCTTGCCAAGCCCAAAGGAGGCACCAAAGCAAGAGCTCCTGCTCAAGTGAGAGGCAGCTCTGGGCATTTGCCCAGCTGGGCACATGAGTTCTCAGAGGTAGAAGGAGAAAGAATAGGAGCACTTGCTGATCCAGCCCCTACCAAGTGCCAGGCATCTCAACACAGGTTCATCTCAGGTCAGCCTCATGAAAATCCTGGTAGGAAAGAATCACCCTGGTCCCGGTTTACAGGCGAGAGAATCAAGGCTTCCATGTGCTGATTACACAGACAGTGCTAAAGGAAGGTTTGGAACCCAAGTGTGACTGACCCTAGGACAGTACACTAGAGGGTGAGTGGCAGTCCTTTTTTTCTTTTCACCCAAGAATGACAGTGTTTCAATAACGTTTGGGGAAAATATATGTTCATTTTCTCCTGCCTGCCCCAGGTCATGGAATGGACTGAAAAAAACCACAACACAATAATTTGGATTTCCTGGTTTGAGGACAAGGGAACCAAGCCTTGGAACACAGTTCTCTCCAGCTAGCAAGTCAGACAGGGAGAGGAGGGGGTGAGCAGGAGGGGCGGGATCCAGCCGGGGTCAGGCTGAGCTTTCCCGGCCGGTGCTCTCACTGTCCGGCAGTGTGGCTTTGGGTAAGTCACATCACCTCTCTGGACCTCAGTCTGCACATCTACATAATGAAGAGGTTGGGCAGATGGTTTCAGAGTCCCTTCAAACTCACGACCTGCACCTAGTCCTGTCCAATCTTCTCTCCTCTTCCCTGTTCATGTGATTTCATAGACGGGGAGATGGGGATACCAGTGCCTAACCCCGGTTTACAAGGGGCTCTGGGGGTGGATGGTCAATGCCAATCTTGTGCAAGCTCCCAGAGTCCCCAACTCTTGCTCTCCATCCTCAAACAGCCAAACTGGAAGGGAGTCAGTGGTGGTTGGGGATTAAAGGGACAAGGAGCGGGTAAGGTGAACATGGAGTCATTTCTCCTAATAGGGCCAGGGCATCTGCTGGTGCAGGCTGGCTCACAGAGACTCATGTATAAGGGGGGGTGTGTGACCCCCTACAACAGGGAAAATAGTTATTTAGCTCCTGCTTAAGGAGTCAAAAACCTTCTTCCGAAGGCTCCACAGCCTGGGCCAGCTCAGGTCAGGACTAGTCATTCATTCAGCCTTTACTGATGTTCACTGTGGGCCAGGCCTTGTGGCAGGCTTTGGGGCCATAGATATGATGACTAAGAGACTTCTCTTGGGGACTGTGTGCTAGCCTGGGATCCCAAGGCCAAACATAGGGGGCTACTAGATTTAAATGGTTTAGCTTGAGAAAAAGATTCCAGGCTCAAATAACCTTGGGAATCATTTTATTGAACACAGCAAAATGGGTTTCTTTGCTACAAGATTTCTCCAAGCCTTTAATATGCAAATGTACATTGAGAATCCTCCAAGGAGGGTATAGAGAATATCCTATATATCCCCACTGTAGCTAATCTTGGAACACTCTTTGTTTTAAAAAAACATTATACTTATTAACAGAGATTGGGAAGATGCAGCTCTAATGCTATTGTTTTGGCCAGTGGAGCTTAGAGAAGGCTTACACAGAGAGGGCATTTGAGCAGGGCTTTGAGAGTTGAGTAGGAGTTAGTCCGTGAGGACAGGAAGGCTTAAGGGAGACCACTTACAGTCCTAGTCTGACTATGTTCAGGTTACTGTGCATGTACTGTTTCATTTAGTCCTCAAGGTCCTGATGCTGGTGACAGAGCGAAGGAGGTCACCAAAAGTCCCTGGAGACTTCTAGAGGTCCACCTCCCTCGCTTTTCTTGAATCACCTCACCTCGGGGCCTTATTCTCCAAATCTTGAGTCTTTAAGTCCTGTCCTCACTCTCAACTTGGCCTCTACTGTGATTTAAACCCAGAATGGTCTTTACAGTATCTGAACTTGATCCCAGCCTTAGCCCCTCATACACCTCAGCCTAGCCCCTGGCACCCAAACCTGCTCTCTCAGCAGTTTGCTGACACTCATTTAGACCCTCTCTTAGATTTAACCCTGACCTGCCCAGAGCGATCTAGCCCAGGTACTGCTCCCCAGGCCCTGATGCATACCTGATTGAACCCCGGGTCATCGTGCCCCAAAGCCTGCAGCTCAGCTACTCCGTATAGTCCAGACTCATCCTCGGATGGCGGCCCCACCTCCTGTCTAGCCCCGACTTTGTCCCATTCCCCATCTGTGTCTTTGTCTCCAACTCAGTCCTGAACCCTTCTTACGTGGGTCCTGTCTCCAGGTCCAGCCCCATGACCCCTTACAGTGGCCCTGCCCTTGCCCAGCTCTGATTCGGCTCCGTCCCTAACCTTGTCCAGGCGGTACCTGGTTCAGCTCTGACCTCATCTGTCCCTGCCGTTCCACTCCATTGGTGATCTCTCCCCAACTATGGACCCACCCACCCCCCTCTTCAGGTCTCTCTGAGACCCCGCCTGGTGAGCACTGCCCAAGGCCCCACCCTCCACACCGCCTCCTCGCCGCGGCCCCGCCCCATCCTAATTCTGATAGGGCCCTGACCCTGCCGGCGGCCCCGCCCCATGGCAACTCTGACTGGGCCCTGCCTGCGGTCCAACCATCACCCCGCCCCCGGGCCGGCCCCGCCCCTGCCCCAGGCCCGCCAAGCGGCTCACCTGCAACTCCTCGAAGGCGTCATCGATGCCCGTGACCTGGTGCTGCTCGTGCAGCGCGGGTTCATCGCAGAAAAAGCAGAGCAGCGCGCGGTCCGTGAGGCAGAAGAGCTTGACCTTGTCGTGTGCCTGGCAGGGTCGCGCGGCACGGCGTGCACTGAGGATGGCGTCCAGCGGGAAGGCGCTGTAGCGCTCCACGATGTTGGCCAGCTTGAGGCTGGGCGCGAGCGCGGGCTCGGCAAACGTGCGCCGGCACTCGGGGCAGTCGCGGGCGCCCTGAGCCTCCTGCCTCACCCAGTGCTCGGTGATGCAGCGGCGGCAGAAGTAGTGCTCGCAGCCCAGGCTCACCGGGTCCTGGTAGATGCTCAGACAGATAGAGCAGAGCAGCTCGTCCTTGAGGCTGCACGCCATGGCGCCGGGGACGGCGGAGAGGGTCCCCCGAGATGCAGGGGGCCGGCTGGAGAGCGCGACGCTGTCGGGGGCAGCACCTAGGGATGGGTGCGGGGAGCAGGCCCGGAGAAGCAGGAGCTACAGGAGAAGGAATGGGTACTGTCTGGGAGTGGGGTAACGCGAGTAAGAGGTGTGGGGTAGAGACTACCCGGGAAGCGAGCCCAGGAAGGTGGTCTCGAGGCAGAGGGTGACCCGGAGCGATGGGTGCTGGAGGGAGGGAGCCGTAGGTGTCTGAGGGAAGGTGCACCTAGCAAGAAGCTTCTAGGGAAAGGGGCAGTCAGAAGGGATGTGTGCTGGGAGAAGGGGCTCTAGGAGGGGGGCGGAGGCCTTGGGGGGCTGTAATACCGGTATGGGTGCGTGGGGGGGAGGGGGAGAAGCTGGGGATGGGGAATTCACGGGGAGGGGAAGCCCGGCAGAGGAGAGGAGGGCTGTGAGCACGCTCAGCTGCCCGATCCCGGCCCCAAGACCCGGCCCCGGGCGGCCCCTTACCCCGCCGGCTCAGCGGCCACTGCTCCGGTCCGAGCGCAGCCTCTCAACCCGGAACCAGCCGAGCTTGAGTAGCCGGCGGAGGCGGCTCCCTCCCCGCCCCCGAGGGCGGGGCCTCAGCGACTCCACCCCCGCGGCGGGCGGGGGAGAGGAGGGGCGTGGCCCGGCCTGCAGCCAGCTGACCCCCCCTCCCCGCCCCCACCATTCTCCAGCTCCCGGGGTTGCGAAACCCAGCTGTTCCTTCAGGGTGTGCACTTGGAACAACATCCAGGTCTCGCTTGGGGTCCCTGCGGCGGATGGGGGCTGGGGAACAGCTAATTTGAGAGGATAACGAATAAAGGAGGCATATCTTGTTGGATCATCAGTGTGAAGATTTGGGAAAAATATTTTGTATTAAAACAAACACGGATATGTTGTTTAATCTGCATAGAATACAACTTTTGCATAAAATATAAAGATAAAACTCGAGAAATACCCTGCTTGCTTAGAGCAATTTCAAGTCCCTCACACTCCGAAGCCCTGGGGTCCCATTTCCTCTTCACTTTCTTAAGGAGTGCTAGCTAGGGAAGTTGGAGAGCCCTGGTCCTGACTAACGTCTGACCCAAGGAGTTGTCTCCACTCAGCAGACATTTCTGGAGTGCTATATTGTGTGCGTGGGGGTGGAGGTGGAAGGGGGAGGAGGGAGAAGGAGAGAGGGAGGAAGAGTAATAGGAGACCTTGACTTGTATGCCAGATGGAGAGGGGATAAGGGATTTCTAGGCAGAGGGGGCAGCATGTGCAAGAGCATGGAGGCATGAAAGGGCAAGGCACATTTGGGGAAGTGCAAGTGGTTCTCTACTGTTGGGGGTGGGGTGGGAAAGGGGCTAGGGTGAGGTGGAGGACATTGAGGGTCATGGTGATGGATTTCCTGAAAGCTTTGGGCTTTCAAGCAGGGGAATGACCTGGTCTGATGTGGGTTTCAGGAAGCACGGAGTTGCTCATTATCCCATCAGCAAGATGAAGGCGGGGAAGCTTTCTGATGTGTCTGCATATGTGCAGCGCTCTTTGAACAGTGAAAGTATGCCACTGAATAACAGTAGCAAAGATGTGGATTTCAGGAAGAGAGACTGGGCACCAGTAGATTACCATTGTCATAGTGCCTGCGGGAGATGAGACCTGAACTGGGGCCATGAGAGTGCATAAGGAGAGAAGACCAGGGCACTGAAAATATAGACACTACGAAATTTTGTAATGGATTGAATACGGGGTGAGAAGGAAGGAGGCATGAGGGCGGCTCCCCCAAGTTCCTGGCTCCTCCAGCAATATCTTCACTGGAGTTAAACTTTATCAAGGCACAATTTAAGAAAAAGCTTGAGGTTTATGCCTCTGCTGTTTATGTGTCCTCCATCACATCATTGTCTGGTTCCATGTCTCCATCATTGCCAGAAACAAGTTGGTAGCTCATGCAGCAACCATTCATTGACTTTTCCTTGCAGTCAGAGCCTTGATTTTGTGCAGGTGGCCCCCTTCCCCACGTGACCAAGGAATGGCTGACCTCAGCCCAGCTCTAGCGGTAAATCCCGTTTGGTCCAAGTCCGTCATGGTGGTTGCACTCCTCTTACCAGTGATGGTTTGCGTTTAGACCTGTGATGCAAGTCTGGCCTGAAAAACCAGAGGGGAAGCCTGTGGCAGGGAGGTGGCTTTTGCAAAGGGTCTCTTCCCTTTCAAAAACAGTCTGCCCCCTTTGCTGGATGTGGATGTGTTTGGTGGTGATACTTGGAAATTGCTCTCAGTCTGAGGATGCAGCCAACACGTGACAGAGGTGGGGAGAATCCTGGGAAAGAGGAGCTAGTGCACTGATGCAGAGCCTAGACTTTTGGATATATGAGATGGTCCATCTTATTTCTTAAGCAGGTTTAATAGCAATGTGCTGTCTCTTGGTAAACATAAGAATCCCAAATGATGCACTGATATGCATGTCCAATTATTTTTTGGAAAGAAGGCAGGGTCTAAATTATTGAAACATTTGAAATGAAACGAAAAAAGGCTTGATGATGGATGAAACAGTGGGGTTCATTTAATTCAACATGTAATCCACCCTCCTCTTCTATAGCAATATAGTACCTGGAGAACTGGCTAGTCCACCAGACACTGCATTTTCCAGCTGCTCTTGCAGTTCAGTGTGGCTTTGTGACTAAATCCTTTCCAATAAAAAGTAAATAGAAATAGTCCTTAAGGCTTTTGCTCTTCCGTGCTCCATATCCTCTTGCCTCGAGTTGAAACACAGATGTGTAAGGAACCCAGCTTCAGTAATGCTTCAAAGAGGCTGACAGAGCAAAGATAAGGAAGGAACCTGGGTTCCTGAATGACTGCATGGAGTGGAGTCACCCACCAACGTGGACTAGAGAATGAGAAATAAACTTCCATTTTCTAGAAGCCATTGTATTTTCGGGCTCTGTTGCAGCAGCTTGGTCTACCCCATGCTACTCTACAGCTGTTTTTAGAAGAGGTTTTGGTACTATTTTATGCTATTGTCTAAATCCTTTCAGTAGCTAAGTTCTTCTTAATATCCAGCACCAATATCTTCTGAAGTGTAAAGAGCACAGTTTTGTTTTTTTTTTTTTTTTGCGGTACGCGGGCCGCTCACTGCTGTGGCCTCTCCCATTGCTGAGCACAGGCTCCGGACGCGCAGGCTCAGCAGCCATGGCTCACGGGCCCAGCCGCTCCGCGGCATGTGGGATCTTCCCGGACCGGGGCACGAACCCGTGTCCCCTGCATCGGCAGGCGGACTCTCAACCACTGCGCCACCAGGGAAGCCCAACAGCACGGTTTTCTCTGGCTGAAAGTCACAGTCTCTTGGGCCCTTCACAATACTTTCCAGCTTTTAGTCTTTTCACCCTTCTAGCTGTTGTTCTTGTAAACTTACCCCATCTCCATTAAGATGCTGAACACTACACTCCCGCAGACTACTGGTTATACTTAAGTTTGGCAAGTCATTGCCCTTTCTGGATCTGTTTCCCCAACCTGATGTGGTTGAGGGGTCTGAACCAAGACTTCCTGATCCTGTCTGCAGTGTACGCCACCCACTTCTATTCATCTCTAAAAAAAACATCAGGAGTTTAGAAAAAGTTTTTTTCACAGCTATCCAAGCGATGTTGTTGAGTGAAAAGAAAAAGGGAGACCCAAATACACACAGATACACAGACGTGGACACACGCAGTCCTACCCATGCTCACAGGCATTATTGTGTATAGCAAAAATCTGTAGAACACTACAGCAATCCTAACCGTGTCTATCTGTGGGCTAGGGTAGGGGGAGGACTTTAATTATGACACTGTATAGCTCTGTTTGTTTATTATTTAATTGTATAATCAGAAAAAATATTTGCTGTGCAGCAGAGACTGGCACAACATTGTAAATCAACTATGCTTCAACTAAAAAAAAAGAAAAAAGAAAGACACAGTTGATTCTCATTATTCATGGACTCTGTATTTGCAAGTCTGCCTACCCCTCAAATTTACTTGGAACCCCCAATCAATACTTGAGGTGTTTTCACTGTCATCTGTGGACATACACAGGCCCAGGGTGGCAAAAATTTAGATTGCCCAGCACACATGTTCCCAGGAGAGGTGGAACCAGGGGACATTCTGCCTTCTTTCAGCTCTCACATTGTCAACTTTTTGTGGTCTATTCCATGCCACGTTTTTCTCACTTTGGGGCTTTTTGTTGGTGATTTTGCTGTTTTAAAATAAGTCCCAAGCGTGGCACTGAAGGGCTGTCTAGTGTTCCCAAGTGCACGAAGGCTGTGATGGGCATTGGGGAGAAAATATGTGTGTTTGATAAGCTTCATTCAGGCATGAGTTATAGTGCTGTTGGCCATGAGTTCAACGTTAATGAATCTACGACATATATTAAATAAGGCGTCTTTAAACAGAAACACACATAAAACAAGGTTATGTATTGATCGGTTGACGAAAATGTGGCCAGAGGCTCGCAGGAACCTAACGCTGTATTTCCTCAAGGGACAATGATTCAATATTCCCTATTTCAGTCTCTGCAGCAACTTAGTAGAACATAACTACATGAATGTCGAGAGTCACCTGTATTTAAAGTTGTGTCTAACAGCAGCCATCAATATGAGGTACCAACCCCCATGCCTCCTTCTGTCCAGGTAACATTGATTCAGTCCCGTCCAAGGGGGAGGGGCAAGAGAATGAACATGGATTGAGTCACTCCTGTGCGCCAGATACTGCACTAGGTGCTTGGTGTCCGTGGCTTTATTTAATCCTCACAGCAGCCCTCCAGACTTGTCATTTTTCTCCCCCTTTGCAGATGAGGAAACTGCAGCTCAGAGGAGTGACGTGACTTGCCTAAAGCCAAAGCAAGTAAGAGGCACAGGCTTCTCCACCCCCAGCTGCTGGAGAAGATTCCACAGTTGTGGACCTTGGAGCTGGGCCAAATCTGGACCCTTGGCTCCACCCAATGGTCTTTATAAA